ATGTTTTTCTTACCTCAACCTGTTTTAGTGACCGTCATTCCTCTTTGAGTCCTTCAAATGCTGGCCGCCATCGACCAGATTCTGAATATGCTAATATTGCTAGTATTGTCCGTCCACCTTCAAAATGTAGCGAGAGAGCTTCGATGAGCGATGGAAGAGGTTTATAATTTGATTTTTTATCAAAATTTACCCGGAAATCTGACCTATTAAAATTTTTATGCTAGAAAAGATTTTTCATTTTTAATCATAAAGGTGACCGTTAGATTAACCATTAGGGCGGAAATGTCAACAATAGTCAAACATTTCATAAACAGTATTTTGCAGATATTAAGGGACCGTATCTAGATTTAAATTTGGAAACAATTTTGCTACTTTGCCTCATTTTTAATCCAAAAATCGCTTAAACTTTTTTTGTATAGTAAAAGCCAACACTTATTTTTCTTATTAGACGATTTCTCATTTAATTTGACTTTCTAATATTAAATCAATTTTTTTATAAAATTCTAGAAAGGCGGCGTATCATGCAATATCATTTCACGTCTTGGAACGATTATAGAGCTCCAGAATGTTCAACAGCATTACTCAGGCTAATATGTAAATTAAGGAAAATGGAGGAATATAATCATTGGCCGGTAGTTATACATTGCAGGTTTTGTAAATTTTTTATTTCAAAAATTCTTTATTTTTTTAGTGCCGGTGTTGGACGTACAGGAACGTTTATTGCAATTGATTATGTTATGGACCAAATTTTGGATACGGGAATGGCTGATGTTTTTGGTTGTGTTACTGAAATGAGACAACAAAGGAATTTAATGGTTCAATCAATGGTAAAATAAAAAATAATTTTTAAAAGATTTTTAGGGCGGGGATAGGGCTTTTACCTGAAACCGGGATTTTTTCCCCAAAACTTGATCTGAAAAAAAAGTTGGAAATTCCGACATAATATTTTTCTTAAACTGTAATTCACAATTTGATTTAAGTAAAGCGTGCCGGAATTTTCATCTCTGGAAGAACTTTCGCCTCCAGGATTTTTTGAAACTTTCGTCTCCAACGGAATATTCGTCACTAGAATTTTTAGGCGCAAGGAATTGAAGAAAATTCCATACACCTCAGAAAATCCTGTAGATCAAGAATCCTAAAATAATTTTAGGAACGGGGTTAGTCTGCAATACTCGATTAAACTTCTAATTCAGAAAATTTGCAATTGACCTTTTCTCTCTTTCAAATCATTCTAAAATTGCTTTTAAAAAATTCCAACCATATTTCTCTTTTCTTTTTCTCAGGAACAATATGTCTTTATTTACAAAGCTTTAGCAGAATTTCAACTTTTTGGAGATACAGATTTAACCTTGTCAGACTATAAACTTCATTATTTAAAATTAAAGCTTCCTTTAACCCAAAAACTTTCCAAAGACGGATTATCTGCCCATTTTCCAAATGATTCAAAAAATTCAACTTCAGCAGTCCAATTTTTTGTGAATGACCAAAGACGGAATTTAAAAAATTATGAAAACACAAATAATGGAATTGGGGCTGTTGTGAGGGCTAAATTAAAATTATTGAGGGATAAAGAAGATTTAAATAATAAAATACCTTCAAATTTACTGTGTCAACAACAACAAAATTGTTTACCTCCAAGAAATAAATTAGAAGCAGAATTTCAGGTTTTTTTTGTAAATTAATATTTTTAAATTTTATTTGACGAATATTTTGGTAAAAAATATTCTTTTCTCTCAATTCTGGTTCTCGATACCTTTTGAAAAGTTTTTGTATATTTAGATGCCAAACAATTAAAAATTTTCTTTGTTTAAGATTTTTTTCAATAAGCTAACTCATAACTTAAGTTTATGGTATATTTGCATACCGTCCAAACTTTTTCCAAAAATTTTTATTTAAAACAAACAGCTATTAAAATAGAACTGATTTAGTTATCTGTCTTACGTTTCCGAATAATTTAATCAATATACTCTCAAAAAATTTTTTTGGTTATTTTATAATTAAGTTATTTTCCTTTAAATTATCAAATCTTTTTTTATTAAATATATTTTTTCTAAATTTTTTAGGATCTCAGTATTTCATTAGAAAAACCAAAACCAACAGATATTGCACTTAAAGAAGAAAATGCATCAAAAAATAGATTTTCTGTAGCTGTTCCCTATAATTATAATAGAGTTAATCTTCAACCAATAATTGGATATGATAATAATACTTATATTAATGCTAGTTTAATTAAGGTTTGATTCTCTAATTTTTTTGAGTTCTATTACTTTGCGGTGATCGTTTATTCCGAATAACTAATATATTTAGTAGTTTTTCTTTGTGTTTGTATGCTTATTTAAATATTTTAGAGATAATTCTATTGTGGTGTATTGGGTAGTGTATTTGACTACACCTACTTTTGGGGAGGGTTCGATTCCTTCACAGGCCTAATAATTTTTGCTTTGTATTCTTACCTTGTAATCATTATTTTTAGTAGTGCTTGATAATATTTTATATTTTTATTTATATAAAATTTTAATTTTTAGGGTCATCTTTATCCATATATTTTTGCGCAAGGTTTTTTAATTAATTTAAAATATTTTTATTTTTTTGTTTAATTTTTAAGATCCTCTCGGACCAGAAACAGCATTTAATTTTTGGCGAATGATTAATGACCAACAAACATATACAATTGTAATGCTTTCTACTGAACAGGATTTTTTGCCACACGAAATGGTTTTTCTTTAAAATAATTTTTTTTTAATTTTATTTTTTAAAAGTATTGGCCGAGAGAAATAAGTAAACGTTTAGTTTTTGGAAAAAATAATGAATTAATTATTACTTTGACTGAAGAAGTTGTTTTGCCATATTTTATTCAACGGAAGTTACATTATCGATTTACGGTTAGTTTTTTAATAAAAAATTATTTTGTAATAAGGAATAGGGGAGATCCCTGCTATTTAAAATACGCTTACTAACAATATGTGTGTGTTTAAAAAGCAGCTTCCCGATAACTCAGTTGGTGGAGCGCCTGTCCGTGGTTAGCGCAGGCACCTAACACGGATAGTCCCTAACTTATTTAAAAAGTAGAAGCTGGAAGCGAAGGAGATCTCCTACTTTTTAAATACGTCATGGCCTATCCGTGTTAGGTGCCTGCGCTGACCACGTACAGGTGCTTCACCAACCTGGCCCCTAATAATAATTGCCTGGAGTTTGCAGTATCGCGATGCCTTCCCTGCGCTAAACTTTTCCTCTTCATATACGATAAATTTTTTATTTTTAAGAAAACAGAAAAAGGAGGTTCAAGTTCGGGAAGAGATGTTCTTCAATATTCATTTAAACAATGGACAAGTGGAGCATCTATTCCAAATTCAGCCAAATCACTTTTGGATTTAATTGGAAGGGTTTTGGAAAGACAATCAAATATTCCTTGTGCTGGTCCAATAATTTTACATTGTAGAGATGGGTCTGCTGAAAATGGAATTTTTTGTTGTGTTTCTTTACTTGTTGAAAGGCTACGGTCTGAACAAATGATTGATGTAAGGAAGGAGGGAATTTTTTTGGGGGGGGGGGGGGGGGGGGATTTTTTAATTTGGAAAAAAAATAAAAATTAGGTCAAAAATTTTTGAAGGGGATTTTCTGAAAATTTGAAAAAATAAATAAAAAGTAGGCCAAAATTTTTTTAATTTAGAAAAAATTTTTTTGACACATTTTTAAATTTATTTTCCAAATTTTGTTTTTTTTCAATTTTTTCAAATTTCCCCAAATTTTTTTTTTAATTTTCTAAAATTTTTTAAAGGTATTTCGAACTGTTAAATCACTTCAACAACAAAGACCACTTCTTTTTACTAAAATTGTATATTTTTTATTTAAATTAATTTTAATTAATTAAAAAAAATTTTAAGGAGCAATATTCATTTGCTTATGATTGTGTAACTGAATACCTCAATTTATTAAATAAATAAATTTTGAGAGAAAAAAAGGGGGAAGAAAAATAATTAATTGACTATAAAATTAAAATAATTTTTAATTCTTTCTTTACCCAATTCACTTTCTTAAATTAATTAATTGGAATGTTACCTTTGGACATTTTTTTCTATTTTTTAGGGTTAATGAGAAAAGTTTTTTTGACACCGTGCAGTAATCGAACCTGCAACCTCTTATTCTCTATTTGTCTTTTTTAATCATTACCTAAATTTTAATTTCCACAATGTTTTCCGATTTCCAAAACCTCTGATTGTTCCGATCCACCTCTAAATAATGTCAGGTAACAATAGCCTAAAATCTCTCTAAAATAACATTTAGACTTCTCTTATTTGACAATTTAATTTGAAAAAAGAGAGGTTTGATTAATTCATAATATCTACTACATATTTGCCATTTTTTGTTTTTATTTTGCCTGTAATTTTTAAATTAATTATATGTGGTTTGATGGAATTTGAAAAGTTTTTCAAAAAATTTTCCAAAAATTTTTTTTCACCCAATCAATTTAATTTCCATCAAAAAACATTTAAATCTCAAAAATAATTCACCTAAATTATTTAGAATTTGTTTTTTTTTCTTTGTTTAGCCAAATGAGAGAACTAGTCATAATCAAACATGTCGCCCCCTCCTTTGTAATTATTTAAAAATGCTTTGTGCTTTTTTTTAATTATTTTATAATAAAATATTTTTTGTATAAAAAATTAAGTTGTCTTAATTTTAATTGGTTTTTGTAAAATTCGAGATTTTATCTTATCCGACAATTCTGTTACTGTTACCAAATCGCTCATTTAGTTGTCCATTTTTAAATAAAATTAACGGGAAATTTTATTTGGCGAAATGTCAATTGGCAAAATGTCTATTGATTAAACGAAATAAAATTTCCTAAAGTTTTCGAAACACCTAAATGTCAGTTAAATTTTTTTGTTAATTTTTAACTTTTTTCAATGGGTTTTTTCCAAAAATTCACACTTAGTGTTAAATGTTTATAAATATGTTGTAAATAGTATAAATTTTTTTGTAAAATAAAAACTATATAAATGTTAATATTTATTCAAAAATTTATTTATATGATAGATAGAATTAAATATTTATTTATTAACAAAAAAAGAAATTATTCAATTGATTCTTGTGAAGAAGTTGGGGAAGAGGAAATGAATAATTTTAAGGTTTTTTCTTTGAATAATTTAAAAAAAACTTATTTTCTTAGCAAATTATTGGGCATATTGTGGATTGCAAAGATGACTATTTTACTATGGTTGCTACTGACTACACTAATTATGAATTGTATATTGCTCCTAATAAGTATGTTAAGTTTGTTTTTTTTATTTATTTTTGAGTTAATCCAACTTTGTACTTGTTAATGCTGTGATAAACAGCGTTTTCCGGAAGAAAATATTTAAATGAAGAAAGGATAGAAATACGTCACATTCTGTATGAAATTTTCTTCCGAAAGACGCTTTTTTGTAAGCACGGCATTTAACATTGCAAAACGTGAGGAATGTCATTTTGGTGTAGTGGTAGTGTGTTCAGGTTTTATTCCCCTTGGCAGAGGTTCGAATCCTTCTGATGGGAAACAATTTTTATTTTTTGTATAATTTCTATATTCATCACGTTACTTTTTAACCAGGAATTTTTCTGAATTTTTGTTCTTTTCCAAAACCCTTGCCCATTAATTATTTTAATTTTTCTCTCTTCCCTGGTGTCTCTTCTTTTAATTTTCCTTTTTTAAGGCGTTTATTAATGCCGGAACTGAACGGGTTTTATCAATGTACTGGAACTATATCAGAAAGAGATGATGGAAGGATTGCATTTGCTGTTGAATCAATCAAAAAACTCGAACGTGGATGTAAAGAATTGGAAGAACAAATGCCTTGTCAGGATTTTCAGACAGCACATAAACTTATTTGTGGATCATCTGACGTTTCTTCTCTCTTTTCTTCTTCATTTTTTGGCAAAAGGTTTCCTTTTTTTCAATTATAAATTAGTGGTTGTTTGGGACTGAGGTTACCAAAAAGTTGATAATATTTTTTATTTTAACCTCTGGAAAAGGAAAGTTTTTTTTGCCAGCTGGGCTTTCTTGGGACCATAGAATCTTCGAAAGTTGGGAACCGAAATGACAGAGTGGTTCAATTTTTTAGTCCGATTTTGCTTTTTTTTTGATTCTGTCCAAATTTCCTTATATTTTCCTGATCCCATATAGTTTCTCTAGTCACTCCTACAAACATTTTATTAGAATATCTATCATAGACGAATCTACTCTCTAATTAATCTTTTAATTTCTTAAGTCTTATCAATCTTTCTGGGAATGCTTCTAACTCAGAAAATGTCAAGGATGAAAATGGTTGCGATCTGAATCAAACGGCTGAAACAATTACTGAAGAACCTGATCTAAACAAAACATTAAAAGAAGAAGATTATTCTGATACTAAAGAAAATGGTTTGGATTTTTAAATTAATTTTTTTAAATTAATTTTTAGATCCTGTAAAAGTTGAAAACAAAGAAAATGTGCCAGCAATAGTAATCTCAATTGATAAATGCAAAAATGTTGCAAATTTGTTTGTACTTGGACAGAAAGGCCCTTTAATTAAAATTGCTATAAAATCGTTAGTTTTTGAGGGGAAGATTTTTTTAAATTTATTTTTTAAAGTTTGGAAGCTCCAGTTCAATTGGGCCAGTGGTATTCAATTAAATTATCTGAGTTAAAGAAAACTAAAGATTCTTCAATTTGTTATAATAATTTTGCAAAATTGTTGGGAAAACAGCCGCCTTTAAAAACTAAAATTTCTTCGAGTGGAACTGTTCAGGTTTTTGATTTAAAAATTAATTTTTAAAATTTTTTTTAACTTTATAATAAAAAAAATAAGGGTACTATCGCATTATACCGCCACATGTCCGCAAATGTTTGTCCGCAGGTTTTTCCTCCTCCCATTCTCTCTTTCTTATAAAGAATAAAAGAGGCAAGTTTTCCTTCTCTTTTCTCAGGTTATTAGGGAACGGTAAATGATTAATAATGGTCAGGCGTTTTTCTCAAGTTATTAGGGAACGAAAACGGTTAATAATGGTCAGGCAACTATAATGTTAATTTATAAAAATTCAAATTAAAAAACAAAAAATATAAAAAAAAAACAAAAAATCTCAAATTCACTTCGTTATTTAAAGAGTGCCTCTTTTATTCTTTATAAGAAAGAGAGAATGGGAGGAGGAAAAACCTGCGGACAAACATTTGCGGACATGTGGCGGTATAATGCGATAGTACCAAAATAAGTTTGTCTTTATTAACTTATTTGGGAAAATTTAACCAACAATTTAAATAAATTTGAATATTTTTTAAACATGGGAAATATTTTTATTGCTAGAAGGAATTTTTTTGGTGAAATCCTTTTTTAATTAAATATTTTGGTGCATAAATAGTTATTTTTAAAAATCAGCTTACTAAAATTTATGGTGTAGTGGTATCGTCCTTGAATACAATTATAAACGACTTGGGTTCGAGTCCTTATGGTTCCCTTCATTTTGTTCTTGTTAAATTTATAGTTTAAAAATAATCAACAATTTTATAAAATTTTTAAAAATTATTTTTAAGTTTTTAACAATAGCAATTTTGGACAAAAGGACAGAAAATGGATTTTTCTGTTTTAAATCTTCACATTTTCCTTTTATAATTGATTCTTCGTGTTTATTAAATCATTACAACGACAACGAAATTAAAAAAGTCAAGTTTTGGTGTTGTTTAAGAAGAATGCCGATTGAGGGATGTTATTGGAAAATTATTGGAATTTTAAATAAAAATAAAAAGAAGTTAGTTCCATATATTGAAGAAGAAAAAGAAAAGGAAGAAAAAATGAGAAAGGAAGAAGAAAAACGGAAAGAAGAGGAGAAAAGAAAGGAAGAAGAAAAATTGAAGGAACAACAAAAAATTAGACAAAATGCCAAAGAAAAACAAAAAAAGAATGAAAATGGAATTTTTGAAGGATTTGTTTGTGGACAAATAAATAATGAATATTTGGTATATTTGCCTGAAGAAAAAGAATTTGGACATTTACCGATGAGAGGAAAAATGGATATGGATAAATTGTTGGGAATTTGGATACAATTACAATTGTTTGGAAATTTTTTAAATTAAATTTAAAAAAAATTTTTTAGACGTTTAATTAACGGAAAAAGAATGGTAGAAAAATTTTCTGTGATAGAACCAAAAATGTTGTTAATTGTGTCTCAGGAAAATCGTGTTATGGTTAGTTTGTTTAAGAAAAGAATTTTCGGTCTCAAGTAATTGACATTTTCGACCCAAAATCAGAGTTAAAAAATAATTTTGTTATTTTATAATTAATTTTTCTTCCCATTGGAATTTTGGAATTGTTCCGAAAATTGTCAGTCATCTATCTGCTTTAAGCATTTTTATTTTGTCATACTAGTGGGACTTATTTAATAAATTTTTTTTAAAAATTATCTGTTCACCTAAAAGTTCCAAGCCTTTCTATTTTCTTTTTTCTAATTTTTATTTTCTAAACAGTTCAAAGCAAAAATAGAAGTTCCTCTCTTACAAAATTCTTCATCTTTGCCTTTTTGTCGATCACTTGGAATTTATGTCAGAGATAATTATAATTTATTGCAAGCAAAACATTGTGGACGTTTTATCAACACAACAATTGGGTGTTTGGTACAACCATTGGAAAATGAGGAAAATTTAGTTCAGTTTGAAATTTTGCATATTTTGGAACGTTAAAAGAAGAATTTTGAAAGTTTTTTTTTAAGTTTATTTTCTTAATTTATTGAATTTTTAAAAATTAATTTTATAAGAATTTTTGAAATTTTATCATAAATTAAAATTTTTTGAATTTAAATCTCTGACTGGATAATTTAATTTAAAAATTTAATTTTCGATACAGTCGGACCTCCTTTTGTATATAAGGAGTCTTCCACTTTAAAAAGCGAAAGACGGATCACCGAAAATGGCATTATCTTATTTTAAGGTTATCTCAAATTGGAAGTATCGCCTGGGCAGATCCCCCACCTAATACCTAACCAAACCTAAATTAACGTAGATTTACCGTGTTGGGTGAGAGGTTAGACTGTATATATTATAAAATTAAAATATTTACAATTTATAAATATGAAATTGACTAGAAATCAATCATTTTGTACGGGGAAAGTATTCCTTTTGGATCAAACAATTTTTTAATTGATGAACTTATTTCTCTAATTTTTGGGTTAACTAAATTATGATGGAAGGTTCTCTTTACGTGTCCAATTCCATGCTCTGCTGATATACTGCCGCCTTTTGAATAAACCCATTCATAGACAAATGGATATAATCTGGAAATTGAAAAATGCTTATTTTTTCTCAAAATTTTTGCAAAAAATAAAAAATTTTTCAAAGAATTTTTCTTGGAAACTTTTCAACCTCTCAGTTAGTCCCACTTAATTTTAAGAATTTCTCTTTCCTATATGGATTATTTTATAAATTTCCCTTCAGTTATTCCGGTGGTGTAATGGTTAGTGTGTTTGATTCAGATATTTTTCGCCGTGGGTTCGATCCCCTATAGGCTTTTCTATTTTTATCTCACTCAATATTACTTTAATTTTATTATAAAAAATTCTAAACTTTTTGTACACCCTACCCCTAACCAAAAAAATTGCAAAAAATTTCTTACAAATCATAGATTTTTTGATCATATTCAGGAATAGAAACATTTATATGTACATTTCCGTCACCAATATGTCCAAATGAAATTATTCTTTTTGCTTTTCCATTTAATTGTTTTCTAACTGCTTCGGGTAATTCATAAAAATATTTTAGAGGAAGAGAAAAGTCGTGTTTAAATACATAACCATCTTTTCTGATTGCCTAGAAAATTGAAGAAAAAAATTTTTTTAAAGAAAAGGCAGAGTTAAGGGTTAGTTACGAGTTTAACTAAAACCCATAAAAACACCCAATAATATGAAAACTTGTTTGGAAATCCTCAATAATACAAAACTAGAGGCCGAACCAAGCTTAATTAAAATCTTGGTTCTAGAGAATCAAAATTCTTCAAGATGTCAATCTCGATTCTCGTACGACTTTCCAAGTTTTCTAATATTAACCAACCCTCCTAAAAATGGAGATCAAAAAACTAAAAAATTGTTAGACATTTCTAACGAAAAATAAGATTTTTAAGTAGGAATATATCAAGAAACTTAAAAAAACCTTACCAAAGGACAACTTTCTCTAATTTTCCATAATTGGTCTGCTTCGGAAGCATTTTTAGCCAAAACCCCGTCTTCAGCCAGTCCACTTTCCAAAATTTTAGTTAAAAATTTATCCATTTTGGACGAATCATGTTCCTCATTTGAACCTAAAAAATTTAAATTCAAAAAAAAATTTTTTTGAGAAAAAACCTGAAGTTTCAATTAAAAGAAAAAAATTAGACAAAATACTCAAAGGGCAATCCAGCCCAGCATTTTCTTTAACCATTTTCATCGATTCCCCATCAATAAATTCAAAAGAAGAAATTATTTCGTTGAGCATTTGTTTACCTATTTTGAGTATTTGTTGACATTTTTCAAAGGAATTGACACCTAAACTTCAAATTTTATTAAAAATTCTTCAAGTTTAAAAAAAGGTGAAAAAGCTTTGGGAAGGAGTTGGAATCGAGCAAACCTTCACAGTTAACTAAAATCTTGGTTACAGAGAACAGTTAAAGAAACGCATCGGTTAATCTGTAGAATATGTACGTGGTGAGCGAAAGCTTATAAAAATAAATGCCAGGAGTAGGTTTGGTGGCTCCTGGGATTTCCAGATACTCGTAACCGCCAACTTTAGTTAAAAGGGCTCAGGATCGATGCCTGCCCGGGGCCTAAATTTTATTACCTCTCTCTCTTAGCCAACTACCTAAAAATATATAATTAATATACTTTTAAAATCCACCCCAAATATTAATTTAAAATAAACCTATCATCGCAGAATGTACAGACAACGGCCTCGGCACAACTTGCATAAATACTTTAGTTATCACTCCAAGTTGCCCCTTTTCATTAAAATTCCAAAATTCATTCCAAATTTTTTTTAATTTATTGAGACCTCTGATCCTATGAACAATTTATGTAAATGTAAATCGGCATTGTCTTTACGTAGAGGTGAGCCTAAACGAAGAATTTGACCTTGTTCATTTGGCAATACCTTAAAAATAAAGAAATTGTTAGATTTATTATTCAAGGGCTAAAAATGTTAGAAATGCTTCAATAAAACTGTCAATCTTTTGACTTTAACATGTTTACAAGACATATCGAACTGTATGTGAAAATTTTGTATTTTTTGCACCATCGTGTAAGCAGGGTCGATAACCTATCGGCCATTTTTCTTTTTTTTGGCCCTGACCCCCATTTCGAATAGAATGATTGAGAGTATGGCTGGACCTCTACAGAATGTAGAACTGGGTTTTAGCAAAAAAAAGGTCGTGGCTAGACGGGGTCGAACCCTAATTGGGATTTTTCAAGTTAATTCTATACCACTTCAAGTCCAGTAACATTTGCATGCATAGATCCATATCTAATTAATCTAATCCCTCCAGCATTTGTAGCAACAACACCGCCAATTAAACAACTTCCTTTTGCCCCTAAATCAACAGGCACCATATACCCTTCTTTGGCTATTCGATTATCCACTTCTTCGAGTACAAAACCAGAATCACATTCCAAAATACCTTAAAATAATTTTTTTATTAAAAATGAGTAAATTATTTTTAAGGAAGTATCATCGAATTTTTTTTATTAAACCAGCCGCAATTTATAAAATTTGAACACGAACAGGGATATCAGATTATACAGTTGGGTTGATATCGAATCGAAAATTGTTCGGCTTTTGGATAAACCTTGAAATCGCAAATTGAACTTAGTTCTATTTATTTTTGGTGCCAAAAAAATTCTAAAAAAATTCTCTATTTTCTAAAAATTTATAAAATCGTAGAAAAGATTTTTAAAAAATCCGAAAAAATAAAAATGTCCGCAAAAAGCTCTTCTGTAATTTTTAAATAAAAACCTGAAGTCGAATCCAGTTCAAAATTTTTAGTAAATTTTTTCATTGATAAAATTATTTCATCATGCATCTAAATTTATAAAAATTACTCAAAAAATATTTAAAAAACTAACCGGAATTGACCCCCCAACCAATCCAGTATTTCCAGATTGGGGCACTAAAGCAAGCTTTCTTTTATAACAATGAGAAAGAATTGAGGATATTTGTTGGGTATTTTCTGGTAAAAGAACACATGAAGAATTGCCTTTATACCAGTGCATAAAATCAAAATTGAAACTGAAAAGAATTTTAAGAATTTTTAGATTTTTAAATCTCTTTGGGGCTAAAAAGTCATGTTTTCTGACAAAAGTTAGAATGACGAAAATACTTTAGGCAGCCAAACAGACAAATCAATTACCTAATTTTGTGGGTATTTAAAATTGGGGGTAGACTATTTATTAGGTAAAAATTTAATTAATTTAAAATTAAAATTTAATTCAGCAACCCCTCCTTAAAAATAGAACCGCAAAAATGTATCTTACATTATGAGTGTTAGCCTAATTATAATTTAAAAACAAAAATCGTAAAAGTAGTTTTTGTGCCCCCCCCCCTATTTTTCTCATTTTTCCATCTTCCTAGAAAATAAATGAGAAGTGCTCACTACTGGCAACCTGTAAAATATCTAAAAAGTACTTCTTACTTATTTTTAGGAAGATGGAAAAATGAGAAAAAATAAAAATAAAAAAAAATTTAAAAAACTTTACCAAAAAAACTACTTACTCATCAATTTCATTAGTTTTTACATTATTTTCCCCCAACAAATTTTGAAAAATAAAAATATCCTCTTTTGTTAATTTAGCAAAATCTTGCCTTCTTTCTGGAATTTTAATTGAAGTAGTTGATATTGTTCTAATTAATTTTTGATGTAAATTATTTTGTTGTTTTAGTATTAAAATAATTGATTTTAAAAACATTTAAAAATAAATAAAATTAGGTAATTAATCTAAAAAATAATTTTTTGGTTTCTTATCAGTGAAGGCAAAAATATTTTTTGATAAAAAGGTTGTTATTAAAAAAGAAAGGGGAAAAAGAAAAATCGATGGTAACTAAAACCATGGTTAAGAAAAAAGCAGTTCTTCTTAGTTTTTTCTAGGGACCAGTAATTCCACATTTACCGAAAATTTTTAGGATAAAAAATAATTCCTAAATAATTTTACTAGCTAAAAACGAAAAATAAAAAATTGTTTGGAAAATTCCAAATAATTTCTTTAAAAATTCAAAATAAAAAATATATGGTTCTTTAATCCATAATTAAAGAAAAAAAGAAAAATCTTTTAAAAATAATAATTTTAATAAACCAAAAAATTTTTAAAACAATTTTTAACAAAAAAATTATCTAATTTTTAATTAAAAGTAAATTTAAAATTTCTTTTAATTTTCTAAATCCTTCCCTTTCATTTTTGTCACTCTAAAAAGTCTATCCATTCAACTTTAATGTCCTCCTCCACCTCCCCCAGCAGCCTTCAAAACTTCATTAGCTACTTCAATTTCAATACCAGCCTCTGCTTTTTGAACGTCTGTGGCTGTTGAGTCCAACGACTTTTTATTTGCTTCGTCTATTAATTGCTTTGCCGCCTTAAGAAAAAAATATTTTTTTAATTTCTCGAATAAAAGTGGGAATGTTTCGAGATAATCTTATAACTAAAAATTAGACAAATTGAATGAATCTTAATCATCATTCCGCAGACGAAAAAATTTTAGAAGGCCGTAGGCCAAAAAATTCAGTTTTTTGCCCAATCCCTTCCCCAAATTTTTTCCCCATTTCGGGGGGGGGGGGCTTCCCAGACAATCAACTAACTGTCCAAAAATAAAACCGGAAGATGGGGTCGTCTTTCTATAAGTAAACAATAATCTAGCTGGTTACCTATTCTTAAAACTTTAGATTTGTCTAAATTTTTAATAAAATGTAAAAGAAACCCTCCAAATCTTTCCATTATAAAATTAAAAAAATTATTTTTATTTACATTGCTATCAAGTTCCTCCAAAGAAGCGCATTCTTCTACAAGAATTTGACAAGAACCATCAATATTCATAGAAAGAGAGCCTGACGAAACAAAAAATTTGGAAATTTTCCCATCCTCCTCATAAACAGACAAAACGCCAGGTTTTAGCATTGCAATAGTTGGGACGTGGACAGGGAGAATTCCCTAAAAATTAAGACAAAAAGAATTGATTGAGATAAAAGCATACCATGTTACTCGCCATTCCGGGAACGTCAATTTGTTTAACTGTAGTGTTTGAATAAATTGCCTGAAATGTTGGAAAATTAAAAATGGAAGAGAATGAGGAAATAAAAATAAATAGGGAACTCAGTTTTGGCCGTTATTAACAACTGTATAAAATGGCAATATTCTATTTGCCTGCCTTAACTAAATAAAAGTGAAATCAAGATCCCCGAAACTAATATTTAGAAAATCAAAATCTCAGGCATTGAATTTAGAAAATAAATCTCAATTCTAATTCGTAAAAAAACATTAAAACAAACCTTAACAGGGGACGCAAGCGTAAGTTTAAGCTCTTTAGGTCCTCCATGTTCAGCTGGACTGGCAGCTGCAGCTGGAGCAGCATATTTACGCCCAAAAGAAGTGTAGACAGTTGGAAGTCGTTGAAATACACGAATAAATGAAGACATTTTGATTAAAATTCTAAAAAACTAGTTAATAATTCCAAAAAATCTCCAAAATCGGAATTTATTTAAAAGAGAGAGTATACAAAAAAGAGAGGAAAAGTAAAAAGAAGCAGAGAAAAAGAGAGATAATTAGAAGAAGAGAAAATAATTAAGAGTAAATGTCTTTAATAAACACTTTGCCAATTTAAATATTAAAATAAGCTTTAAAAAATTTGTTGGCTTCATTTTTCCACAAACATTTGCATAACCTTTAAGAAGCGGGTATTTAGTCTAGAAAATTTAAGAATAATTTTCATTTATTGAAATTAGAAGCGATTTTCAAATATTTTTCTTTCTCAATTTTCCCATACTTTAATTTTTTGGGTGCATTTTGTTTAACTGCTTTACCTTTTATTAATTTACTTGTAATTTGTATTTTAGTTCAAAGCTATATTTATTTTTAACAATCTAACGTTAATAAAATGCGCGAGATCGTCCATATTCAGGCCGGACAGTGCGGCAATCAAATTGGATCCAAGGTTTTCATTTAAATTCTTCAGGACTCCATTTAATATTTAAACTTTTTAGTTTTGGGAGGTTATCTCTGATGAACATGGCATCCAACCTGATGGCTCGTACAAAGGCGACTCTCCTCTTCAATTGGAAAGAATGGATGTCTACTACAACGAAGCTTATGGTTTTTTTAGAGATTTTGGTCTTTGAATTATCTTTTTAATTTTTAGGCGGAAAGTATGTCCCAAGAGCAATTCTTGTTGACTTGGAGCCGGGGACTATGGATTCTATTAAGGCTGGCCCTTATGGTCGTCTCTTCCGACCTGACAACTTTGTGTTTGGCCAAAGCGGTGCTGGTAACAACTGGGCGAAAGGACATTATACGGAGGGAGCTGAGTTGGTGGACAATGTTTTGGATGTTGTTCGAAAGGAAGCTGAGGGATGTGATTGTCTTCAAGGATTCCAACTGACTCACTCGCTTGGCGGTGGAACTGGGTCTGGAATGGGGACTTTGTTGATTGCGAAGATTCGAGAGGAGTATCCTGATCGTATAATGTCTTCTTTCTCTATTGTTCCGTCGCCTAAGGTTATTTTTAACTTTGTAGCCCTTTCATTTTTTATTCTTCAGGTCTCAGACACTGTTGTGGAGCCTTACAACGCAACTCTCTCGGTTCATCAACTTGTTGAGAACACCGACGAGACGTACTGCATTGACAACGAAGCTCTCTACGACATTTGCTTCCGGACTTTGAAACTTCAAAATCCAACTTATGGAGACTTGAATCATCTCGGTTAATTTATATTTTGCTTTTTTAAAGCAATCTTTATTATTTAGTGTCTATAACCATGTCTGGAGTGACAACTTGTCTTCGCTTCCCAGGCCAACTCAACGCTGATCTTCGCAAATTGGCTGTTAACATGGTTCCGTTTCCGCGTCTCCATTTCTTCATGCCTGGTTTTGCGCCACTTTCGGCTAAGGGCGCCTCTGCCTACCACGCCCAAAATGTTTCTGAATTGACTATGCAAATGTTTGACGCTAAGAACATGATGGCCGCTTGCGACCCACGACATGGACGTTATTTGACTGTTGCCGCCATTTTCCGTGGGCGCATGTCAATGCGTGAAGTGGATGACCAGATGATGTCTGTTCAGAACAAAAATTCGTCTTACTTCGTCGAGTGGATTCCAAACAACGTCAAAACCGCTGTTTGTGACATTCCTCCGCGTGGTCTCAAAATGTCTGCGACATTCATTGCCAATTCCACCGCCATTCAAGAATTATTCAAACGCGTCTCTGAGCAATTCACTGGTATATTTATTTTTTTAACCTTGGGATTTTTGAAGTAGATTTTGTTGGGTGACAAATTAATTTTCTGGTCTCCTTATAAAATAACCCTGCGCATCAAAGTAGGCTTTTATGAATGGTGCTCCTCTTGAATTTTTTAGGGCTATAAGTTAAAACATAAAGTCATTTAATTCCTGAGCCAGTCAATATCTTTTCTATTTTAGCCATGTTCCGTCGTAAAGCATTTCTTCACTGGTACACTGGCGAAGGTATGGATGAAATGGAATTTACGGAAGCGGAATCGAACATGAATGACTTAATCTCTGAATATCAACAATATCAGGATGCTACTGTCGATGAAGAGGCTGAATATGACGAAGTTACTGGGACTGTTGAACAGGAGGAATGAGTTCACAGATATATAAATGATAAATAAGATCTCGTTAACTGTATTTTTGAGAGACATTTAGGGGCAAATATAACTGCGGAATAGCAAAATTTGTAACAAGTTTGTCACTAAATGTCTCTATTTTTGACTTTTTTGATGATGATCTTTGTTTCGTTCTATTAAATATTTAAGAAAATGAGTATTTATATAAAATTTTTGAGCTTTTTATTGTTAGCTTATTTGGAGTTTTTAGTACTTTACAAACCTTCATTTCGAGATTCATCTAGCGTAGAGGAGTAAAAGTTGATCTTTTTTGTTCCATTCAACCTTAACACATTGTTAGAAACTAATTCTTTAATTGTTATTGCCAATTAATCGATTGTCCTGGAGTCTCTCAGACAAAATTCGATTTCCAATACCTGCTGTA